GGAGCTTGAAGTGGATATAGCTATTGGGCATCCGCTTCCAGTCCAGTCCATGCCAAGTATTTGAGTGCTATAGCTGCTAAGGTAATAAATTTGATATTTGATGATTCAATGTGATTAGGTGGTTTTCGGAGTTTAAAATTATGTTTCTCTGTTTGGTATGCTGTTTCCAAACATCTATTTACTTTTTTCAAACTTTAGGCATTTAAGTTGTTCTAACATTAAGTTGGACCTGTGCAGAAGAAGTAGCAACATCTTGTTAAGTGGCTGTTGTTTGTAAGCATGCTGTTAAAAAGAGAGTTAATAATGTTGTTGTGCCTGATTCTTGTTGTGTAACAGATTATATTGATTTGTAGAAAAGAAGACCGGCTAAAATGTACATGCGGTGGGTATCACTTGTACCCCACTTTAATAAAAAAAAATTTTGCTGATAAAAAAAAAATTAAGTTGAACTTGGGGACCAAAAATGCAAAGGCCACTGACCACTGTCCTTTCCCTTACTAAAAGAAAAAAAATCCGGTTCTAATGGCAAAAAAGAATAAAAACGGTCCACGGTCCACAGTCAAAGGTGGGCTAATTGTGACTAATTTCACATGGACTGTTTTTAAAGTGATAATCGTGACCTATTAAAATTATTTATACTTAAATTTCAATAGAAGGGCTCAAATCTGCACTTGGTACTTGTGGGCCAATGGTTAGTGCCATTACAAAAGTGCATATATCTCTCCTGATCGGGTTTTAAACCCGTCCCATAACAAAAAGTTCAAAAAAAATAGAAGGGCTCAAATCTACATTGTTAGGCATGGTTCACTTGAGCCAACTCCAGTAAGCTGCTCCAACTCCTTAATTTCCTAATCAAGGTCATTGAACTTTAATAGTTAAATTAATGCCATTGAAACAGCATGTCAACGCAATTCAAATTTGAAATGGAATAAGTGAATTCACTTTCGATTACAGAAAAACAGAAGCCAAACTAGTAAGATTACCATCAATGTTAAATTCATATTAGAAAGCAAAAGAAAGAAAATGTTACAAATTGATATACTACTTCCAGCAGATCATTTACTGCAAACAAAATTATAAAATGATTCAGAAGTGCTTTGCTTCCTCAAGAATGTTGTGTACCTTAGGACCAAGCAAAAGATATTTGAGCAGTCAATTGAGTCCTGCAAAATGCTGGGATAACAACTTTTCAAAGTCTTAACATACCAACTTCTTCTATCAGTTGACATCAGCCTTTTGCTTCTAATCACAAAGCATCTGTGTCTTGTATGGTCTTGTTCTTGGGATTCTTCAGAAAAAGAAATGCATGTCTTAGAAAATTAGTAATGCGTATGGACTATGTTTTGTCTTGATAATACTCAGTACTTCAACTATCATATATAATCTCTTGTGCAAGATTTATACACAATATAACATTTTTTAGACACCATAAGAAAGAGAAGGACATGCTTCAGAAACAACATATATAAAATAGATTCCAGTGCGGCAGTGTCTCCATGTATCATCACCTTTTGTTCTTCCAGTTTGAAGGAAAATTCCATTTGACTATGCTTCTTGGTCCCCTCTATCTCACAAACTTCTTCAAATTCTTCAAATTGGAAATTGGAAAAAAAAAAAAAAAAAAGTCAGCACCTTTCCACTCTCCACGTTTTTTATTTTCATTCAAAAGAGACTTAGGCTTCCTCATGTCATTGCAATTCATCAGGAAAAGTGTTTTATATCATTCTATTTAGAATGTTATACAATGTGTCACGCATATTCTTCAAAGAAAATGGTGTTTCAGTAAACATGAAATCAGTATGACCTTTTATTTTACTCAAAAAGAAACTTTCAAATGCCAAATGCGACTTAAGTTCTTTACATAAATTAAACTGAATGAATACAGGCAACTGAAATACCTACCGCAAAGCACCAAATCTTCATTGAGAAAGAGTTTGATTCAGAAATCCATGTCCTGCTGCTGTTGCTAAACCACCTGGAAAAAGGAAAAAGAATATAGATCAAAAAGGTAATAGGCAAGTTGGAAGAAGATGGAAATAATAAAATCCGAAATTAATTCTGAGAAGAACATGGTAGTACCCATTTTCCATCTATCTCAATGCTGAGGATGTTCCATTTGAGGTAAGAGTCGTAAGACATTGGGGCCTGTCCATGTCCTATCCTAAACGTCTTACCATCAATGGTGAATTCATATCAGAATTCAGAAACCAAATGAATAACAAAAGCTAGTCTCTGCCTCCAACACATTTTTTTACTGCAAACAGAAACTATGCCTGGGATACCAAAATGATTCAGATAGATAGAACACATATAGCAAAGCTTGCTTCCTCAACAATGTTGCGCAACAGAAATTTGAGCAGTGAATAAGTCTTCCAAACTGCTGGGAGGGGGTACAGCAACTTTCCAAAATCTATGGAAACTAACTTATTTTCCCATTAAAAAGAGCCTTCAGCCTCTAATCAAAAAGGATCTCTCTCTTGTATAGTCCTCAGTCTTGTACTCTGGATTCTGCAAAGAAGGAATCAATGTGATTTAGCAAATAATGATGTGTGTGCAATATTTCTTTTTGGTTATACCAGTACTTCAGCTATCATATAGTCTCCTGAGCAAAATTTAAACAAAATCAAACTAAAAAATCAACGTTCCCTTTTACTTAATTTCATTCAGCCTTATATTGTTGACAGAAGTTTATAAATACCAAATTTATCATAAGAGTCCTGATTAGGAAAAACGTAACATCTTTTATACATCCAGAAAAAATAGAAGGGCGCACTTCAAAAACATTGTAAACAGATTAAGCTTTCTAAACATTAAGCTTCTTGAAATTCTTCAAAATGTATATCAGAAAAAAATAATTTAGGAATTCCCAACAGCCAGAGGAAACCAAGGTTTTTTTTTTTTTTTTCATCCAAGATAAAGTTTTTGATTGTCATGCAATGAAAACGCCTTTATATCACTCAACATATCATACTTTATCATACAATTTTCTTCATATTAAGCAGAATTCAGTTAACAAATTTGATGTCCTGAACAAAATTATCAAGAAAACCAAACAATAAAATCCGAATTAGCTTTTTATATAACTCAGCCTTGCACAAAGAAACTTGCTAATAGAAATGCAGCATGAGTCCTTCTAGCTTGAAAGTCCCGCAGCAGGGCATGCTTGAGCTTGATAGAATCAGATTACAAGCTCATCATTATCTTTATCTATTCTATATATTTTAACTTTAATTAAAAAAAAAAAAAAAAAAAAAAAACAATTTCTTCAAAATGAAAGAAAACATACATCATCCTTGCAGCTACATATTCGTCCTTTTATATAACTTCCAATAGTTTATAAATTTGAAGAGATGTCTACCTACCACAGAGCACAAAAGTCTTGTTTGAGACAGTTTGATTTGGAAATCTGTGTGCTTCTGCTATTGCTCGACCACCTTAAAAATAATAATAACAATACATTAATTAGTAAAAGGCAAGTTCGAAGAACATGGTAATAAGCTAATAAATTCCTAAATTAATTCGGAGAAGGGCATGGTTGTACCCAATTTCAAATTACCTTGACATGGGGGATGTGGGCTATGAGGCGCTGATAGTCTTGCTTCTCCTTTAACCGTTGTGCTAGCCGTGGACAGTTGAGGATCTGGAGATGCCCAAGCGAGGAAGGCAGACCTTCCTTCGGTAAGAACTGGAGCTCCGAACAGTCATCAATGAATAGTGCTTGAAGAGAGCTGAGGTTTTGGAGGAGCTCTCTAGATAGCGATTTCAGATTTTTTACCCTTTCTATCCCAAAACGGATTAGAGAAGTAGGAAGCAAATCACCTGGAGGGCATATCCAACCTATGT